ATTGGTTGAGGGTCAAATGAGTATTTCACATCAGTTCTTTACTTGGGAGAAGGAGGATGCAATTGCAGAATTCGAGAAGATGAACTGTGAAGTTCTTGAGCAAATTGATATAAAAAGCAAAAAGTATTGAAGGTTTTGGCCAATTTAAAAGTGGACAAATCCTCAGTTCCAGATGCTGCGGAGATGAGGGAGGAAATTATAGAGGCCCTGACCCAAATTTTTAAATCATCTCTAGCCACAGGGGAGGTGTCAGAGGATCGGAGGACAGCTAATGTGGCTCCATTTTACAAGAAGGCTGACAGAGATAGACCAGGAAACTATAGACCAGTGAGTCTAACATCAATGATAGGAAACTATCGGAGGAAATACCAAAGGAGAAAATTAATCTTCATTTTGAGAGGCAAGGGATAGGAATTTGATCAGAGATAGTTTTGTCAGAGGGAGGTTATGCCTAACAAATTTTCAAGGAGGTGACCAAGTGCTTAAATGAGAGTAAGGCAGTTTATATCGACTTCAGCAGGTCTTTGACAAGGTTCTACGTGGAACCTGGTAAAGGTGATGAACACTCATCAGATCCATGGTAACTTGGCAAGTTGGATCCAAAATTGGTTGAGCGACAGGAGAGAAGGTGTTGATAGAAGACTGTTTGTAGAACTGGAGCTGAGTGTGCAGTGATGCTCTACAGGGATAAGTGCTGGAACCCTCATTTGTGCTATCTATAACTAATGGAGGCGAGGATTTGGGGAGGATGATAAGTTAGTGGATGTCACAAAAATTGGCAAGGTGGCGGACAGTGAGAAGGAATGCGTTAGGTTACAGAAGGATATAAATGGATTCAGCACATGGGAAGATGGAATTTGTTCCCCTTGGTCAAAGGGCTAACAAGGAGGCATAATTGTAAAGTGAAAGGTTTTAGAAGGGATTTGAAGAAATATATTTTCAACCAGAGGGTAGTGTGGGTCTGGAATGCACTGGAGGGTAGTTGAGGCAGGAAACCTCACCACCTTTAAAAAAGTACTTGGATGAGCAAGTGTTACAACATTCAAGGCTATAGACCTAGCAGAAACGTGGGTCCAGTATAGGTGGCACTATATTTTTAGTGGTATTTGAGCTGAAGGGCCTCTTCTGAACTGTATGATTCTATCATTCTAATGTAACTTTTCTATTTAAAAAAAAGTAGTAGAAAGAAAGCTGCGTATTATAGACCAATCAGCTTGACATTGGTAGTGATGAAAGGCTAGAATGGATTATAAAATAAAATTAATAACAAGCCACTTGGAAACAGTGGCAGGATTGGACAGTCAGCATGGGTTTATGAAAAGACAAATCACGCTTGACCAATCTAATGGAATTCTGAGAGACTGTAACTAGTGGCGTTGAAGAGGGGTAGAAGCCAGTGGATATGGCTTATTTTGATAAAAGCCTTCTGCAAGTTAAAGTCTCACGTTAGAGATTGTATGTTTAAAGTATTCAGTTTGATAGGAAACCGGAGATAACAAGGATTGTAGATGCTGAAAGCCAGAGTCTATAGGTGAGACACTGGGAAAGCACAGCAGGTCAGATAGCATCCGAGGAGCAGGAAAGTCAATGTTTCGGGCTGAAACCATTTCATCAGAACTAGGGGATGGGGAGGGGAGCCCAGAAATAAATAGAGGGAGGGGTGTGGGGCTGGGGGAAGGGTACAAGAGATAGTGATAGGTGGATGTAGGTTGGGGGTTATTAGTATGTAGGAAGGGTGGAACAGATAGATGAATAGGAAAATGGACAAGTTAGGTCAAACAGGGAGGTGAGGAAGGACTGGACATGGGATAAGGCTAGGGCTGGAGGGATTTTGAAACTGGTGAAGTCAATGTTGAGGCCATTGAGGTGTAAGCTCCCAAGACGAAATATCGTGTGTTGCTCGTCCAGTTTACATTTGGCCCCACTATCACAGTGGAGGAGACCAAGGATGGACATTTTGCCAGGGGAGTGGGAGGGGGAATTAAAGTGGATGGCAACTGGAAGATCAGGTTGGTTGACGTGTGCAGAGCACAGATGCCCTGCAAAGCAGCCCCCGAGTCTGCATTTGGTCTCCCCGATAGAGGAGACCACATCAGGAGCAACAGATACAATAGATCAGGTTGGATGAGATGTAGGTGAATCTCTACCGGATCTGGAAGGATTGTTTGGGGCCTTGCACGGAGGTAAGAGGGGAGGTTTAGGGGCAAGTGTTGTACCTCTTGCAGTTGCAGGGAAAGGTAGCAGGTGTGGTGGAGAGTGTAGAGCTGATGAACGAGTCGTGGAATGACCGGTCCCTGCGAAAAGCCAAACAGGAGTGGATGGGGAAATATCTTTTTGGTGGTGGGGTCCGATAGTAGGTGGCAGAAATGTCAGAGGATGATGCATTGGATTCGGAGGTTGGTGGGATCATATGAGGACTAAGGGGACTCTATCCTTATTGTTGTTTTGTTGGGGGGGGGGGGGGCTGGTTTGAGCAGAAGTGCAGGAAATGGAGATGTGGTTGAGGGTATCCTTAATTACTGAGGAGGGGAAATTACAGTCCCTAAAGTAGGATATCTGGGATGTCTTGGAGTAGAACACCTCATCCTGGGAACAGATGCAGCAGAGGCAGAGGAATTGGGAGTATTGTATTGCATTTTTGTAGAAGGGTGGATAAGGGGAGACGTAGTCGTGGGAGTTGGTGGGCTTGAAATGGATGTCGGTGGTGAGTTGGTTTCTGGAGATGGAGACAGGGAGGTCCAGGAAGGGGAGGGAGGTGTCAGAAATAGTCCAGGTTAATTTGAGGGCAGAGTGGAAGGTGTTGGCAAAGTTGATGAACTGCTCGATCTCCTTGCAGGAGCACAAGGCTGTACCGCTGCAGTCATTAATATAGCGGAGAAAGAGGTGAAGGATGGCGCTAGTGTAGTTGCGGAAGAGGGACTGTTACACAAATCCTACAAAGCAGGCATAGCTCAGGCCTAGGCAGGTGCCTATGGCCACTCCTTTGGTTTGCAGGAAGTGGGAGGAGTTGAAGGAAAAATTGTTGAGTACCAGTTCAGCCAAGCAAGCGAGAGTATGTCAGAGGAGGACTGGTTGGATCTACGGGAGAGGAAGCAGCAGAGGGCTTTTAAGCCCCGTGTGGGGTGTACAGGTGTATAGGGACTGTAGGTCCATGGTGAACATGAGGTGTTAGGGGCTGGGGAATTGAAAGTTTTGGAAAAGGTGGCGGGCATGTGTTGTGTCCTGTACATAGGTTTCTGGACCAAGGGGAAGAGAATGGAGTCGAGGTAGGAGATGAGCTCAGCGGGGCAGGAGCAGGCAGAGACAATGTGTCAACTGGAGCAGTCAGGTTTATGGATTTTGGCTCATTTCTATCAGATGAGAGGCTGTGGATGGGAGATCTCCTGAAGTGATAAGGTTGTTGATGGTCTGGGAGATGATGGCTTGGTGCTCAGATGGGGAGATGATGAGGTGGGATCATGATCAAGGGGACAGTAGGTGTTAGAAAATTGGTATCTGGAAATGAAGAGTAAGAATAAAATGGTCTTTTTCTGAAAGGCAGGTACTGACTGGTGATGTTCCAGCGTGATTTGGACAGGCTGAATAAGCGAGCAAATGCATGGCCGACAAAGTATAGTATAGATAAATGCGAGGTAGCAAAATCAGGAAAGCAGATTATTATTTGAATGGTTCCAAATTGAGAGGGGGTGAATGTGCATTGAGACCTTGGTGTCTTTGCATACTAGTTGCTGAAGGTAAGTATGCAGGTGTAGCAGATAGTAAAGGCAGCAAGTAGTATATTAGCCTTCACAGCAAGAACATTCGAGAACAGGAGCAAGGACATCTTGCTGAAATTTTACAGGGCTTTTGTGACACTACACCTCAAATGTGGTGTAGTTTTGCTGGGAGTCCAGCAAATGTTTACCAGACTGATTCCCAAGATGGTGGCTTATACAAGGACAGGTTCAAATCAGTTCGGATTATTATTTGCTGGAGTTCAGAAGAGTGAGGGAGATCTCAGAAACCTATAAAATTCTAACAAGACTAGACAGTGTAGATACAGGAATGATGTACCCTATGGCAGAGGAGTCTAGAAGCAGGGTCAGTTTAAGGATATGGGGCAAGCCATTTTGGATTGGAAGGAGGAGAAATTTCTTCACCTAGAGATTGGAGAGGCTGAGGGATTTGTTACTACAGAAAACAGCTGAGGCCAAAACATTGTATGATTTAAAGGAGTTGAACATAACAGTTGAGGGGCTAAAGGGATCAATGGATATTGATGTTTGGTTTCGGGGTTGGGGGGGGGGGGGGGGGGGGGGGGGAGAATGCTGGTAGTGGTACAGAAAGAATGGAAACATACTAGGTGTGTTGTATGATCATAACAGATGGCAGAGCAGGCTTGAAAAGCAAAATGGCCTACTCCTATTTTCTATGTATCTAAAACAGCAAACACGTGCCTCACTGGTGTGTTGACCTTGCAATGCACATGTCCAATTTATATTTATTTTTGGCAGTGGAGGCAGAAGTCTTGGCAAGATACCATCAGACATGCAGGTGGTGTATTGGATTGTACTGTCTTCTGGAAAGATTAAAGTAAGGACCTTCAGTGCAATCAACAGCCTAGATCAGGTACGTAATCCGGTTTTGAGAGTTGAGATTAGTTTCAAACAGTCAAATTTGAGAGGTACAAGTATTACCAACTAACAAAAAAGAGTTGAATTATTAACAGGAGTAAGAACTTCAAGTGATTTTTCTCATTGGATCCAAATTTTGCCCTTAGACAGACAAAATAATTTTGCACTAACAAAAACAAACTGAAGGTGGGATCTTCTAGTGTGTATGATGCAGACTTCATTGGTTTCTGTGCAGTGATGCATTTAAGCAGTCCCATTTACTCAAAAGCACACAACAGCTACAAAATAGCTGTTTATCAACTATTGACAGAGTTGCTGACTGAAGCAATAGTCATATGCCTAGAATGAGGTGGAAAATATTAGCAAAAACACACAAGAAACAAACAGTTGTCTGCATACAGTTTATTAATCAATCCCCCCAAAAAAACAATAAACTATTATTGTTTACTACTGATATGACAAAGCATTTTAAAATAATAGGTTGTCAGTGAAATCAGTGATAGTACCAAATAGGTTTTAGTACTTATAAATTCAAAAATAGAACATTAAAGTAAGACTTGTCAGTTTATTTCATTCTTTTCATTAAAAAAATTACACAATAAAAAGTGAACCCAATACCTATACACAAAATGTAGTACCTCTGTGGTTAAATGTGTTTAGGAAAAGCAGAGAAGAGAGCACTTCACAGCTGGAGTATATTTTAGTAACACAAATTCTTTAAATATTTGGCACAATTGGATTTATTAAAAGATTCCTAGCAAAATAGGTCATGTGCAAACAAAATCACTTTAGTGGTAAGTTTCAATTTATTTCTTTGCGCATTACATTCAAGGACTAGTTTAAACAGGGAACTTTTAGTTTGTTTTTTGAATATTTAAGTTTCTGCTCAATTCTCCCACCTCCAGATTATCCACATCAGTTCAATTTACAGAAAAACACCTATCCCACGTTCTCAGTGGTTTTCTGTATCAGCAGCGACTATACCTACAAGTACTGCAGTTAGTGCGAAAGAACACAAATGAAATGAAACAAGGGTTCAAATGTCCTTTAACCATGCACTACATTACAGTACATTACATCACCCAAAGATACCAATTTGCTCAATGTTTCTAACATTTTATTTCAAACCTTCACCTTTTGCAGGTTTTCTTTGATTTCAACAATGGCCGTCAATTGAAGTTAGGTCAGAGATAGTTCTACACAAGATGAAGAAAAATATTTTGTTGCAATTTTCTGCTGGGATGCCCTGGTAAGTTTCTTTCAACTAACCTACCTCCATTCAGCAAGCCAATTTTGAAGGTTTTTTTTTAAAAAATACTTCACTTAATATGTTCTGCAGCTTACATCATGGGATAGAAACTTATTTACAATGATTTCTCTTGATAAAACACATGGGAATTAATTTAGTGTTGAAGCTATATTACATACATAACGTACAGCACTGTCCTCTAATCTCACCTCAAGTCTTGTCTAGAAAACACTTACATCAACATGTGAACAACTCCCCAAAATAAGGGAGTATTAGCTTTCACATTTCCTATTAAACATGCCATTAATGCAGTGCACTGGACTGTGCGCACAGCTGTCATCCTGAACATGAGCAGTGTTCAACACGCTGAACAGAAGCACTCTTAGACTAGACCAATATTTCACAATAACACTCAAAACATTTAAGTAGCACGAAGATGTACATGGATTACAATGTTGAAGAAAAATACTGTCCTGCACAAAAGAGAAAGTGTTTTATGGCAACTTGCCTCATATTCCAGCATTCATGGTAGGAACCATGACCAATCACCACATAATAGATTAAATATTCAAACAAAAAAATTTAGGCTATAAAGCAACACATTGTGCAACATCAGCAACAGGAAGACATTCCTGAAAAATGCAATTCTTTGTCCAATTTTAAAAAGGATCAAAGAAAATTGTTCTTTATCCATACTGTATTGATCTGTAATATGAAAGATTGGAAAAGAAAACTTAATATCACAAGGCACTACTGATTCTTACCTTTTGAAAAGTATTCAACTCTGGGGTGCTTTTTAAATTAATACTGCACTAGAAAATTAAGAAAACAAGGCAATAAAAGATTGAAATCATTTAAGGATATCAAAACATTTAATTGTACACTGAAGCAAGAACTTAAACTTTGCATCAACAAAAAGAAAGTTTAGTTACTAGCATGGTCTATGGTGAATGAGGCCAAATCATCCACCACCACAAATATGGTTAGGAAACTGGATGTCATCTATCAAAAAATTTGTGTAATTCCATAACATGCTCCTTCATGAACACTTTATTGCTCCTTAATAGTCCATTGCATTTAAATTAGCAATTTAGTGGCTTATTATTCAACAAAAATGCTAATTTGCATTCTAGATGGAAAATAGGTAAAAGTTGTGCGTTACGATTGGGCTGCCTTCTTGGTAATTCATTACTAGGTAACTGGCCTAAACCATTTCCAGCAAATGGCACAAGGAGCTGCACCAGTGAGACACATAATAAAGTGGAATGGTGGTGCTAAGAAAGTACAAGCAGCAGGATTAAGTGGGATGATTGTGGGCCGGAAGCATTAACACACTTCTAATAAAGGCATAAAATTGTTAAAAGCAACATACCCAATGTCTTCGTAAGCAGTTTCCAGCAGATACTGTGGACATTGCCAGTTAAGCTGCTTGAGGTGCAGTGCTGCACCATGCCAGTGGAAGCTCAAAATTGTGCATCATAGGACCCAGTTTGTACATGTTTAACAAGATGCCTGGATGTTTCAAAATGTGAAGTGTTGCCTTCCAATTTTCAAATGCTTTCACTCGGAGGGGACAAAGGGGCAAAAGAAAAGCTCCAGTGTGTTCATAAAGGTGTTGGTGCAAAATATGACTAGGTTATTAGAATGGGACAATTTGAAATTATTCTTTATTAGTTTCCTTTTCTGCAGAGGGGTTGCTTTAATTTCAAGTATTTTAAACTGACAGTCAGTTGAATAAAAGGGTCTTAGGAGAAAACCTGCTTTACTTTTGCATTGCAGGATTGTTACTACTGTCACTGCGATTTTGCATGTGGTTTTCATTCCAAAACATGCATTTATAGATGTAATGCAATGGGTGTATTATTAATTATCTGTTGCATATTGGACCTTAAGCTTTTACGTTAATAGTGGAAAGTCTCAAAATAATGTAACCAAGAATTATTTTTATATTACAATGTCAGAATCAAAGGCTGAATATGAAAAGATTCATCATGCAATTAAGAATGCACAATAAATCAAGGCATTGCTTAATTTTCAAAGTTTCCCAAGCAGTATGATTTTATTCTATGCATATATGGAGCAGTACAAGCACCCTTCATAAAAATCTTTAAGGAGGATACATTTTTTTGTTCACAGGATACTGAGCTGAAGCAAGTAGCAGGCATGCCCATACAATCCTAATTGGCACACTTGTCTTGCAAAGACAAGTTAAAGCCTTATTGGAAGTGTGTGCTTCAGCAAAAAAGGGGGTTACAAATTCTCTCTCTCTAAACCTCAGATGTTAAGTTTCAGAATCAGCCGGTTGGCTGAGTGGCTGTTCTGTGACTCGAGACTGGACTGTACCCCTCCTTCAAATATACTATGCTTATGGAATACTTACATATGAAATACATGCAATGTGGCTTGAAAAAGTTATTTCCCTTTTTGGGGGGTGTTGCAGGGGAAAAGATGGCAACTGTAGACTTGTAACAAAAATTTGTAATGGAAAAATCAGTTAAAACTTAGAAAGACGGCATAGTTTAAATGTAGTTGGAAAATGCTACAGAACCTGGCTCCCACTGTCATGAACTTGAATTTGGGTAGCACTTTCCATGACTTCAAAATGCCCCAAATTGCTTTGCAGCCAACTAAATACTTTTGAAGTATAATTACTCTGGTAATTTAGGGACATGACACTTGTTGGATTTGCAGTAATGCTTATCCCTGTAACATTGTCACATGTGCTATATTGAGGTCATTTCAAAATCAGCCCCTAATTAAATGAAGTGAAAGTGGATTAACAGGTGATAACTACGGATGGCAGATTTCAGTGACAGATAGAAACACATCAATTCTAGATTATGTATCAAAGACATTGTGCTATGGTCATAACTACATTTCATTTAAATATATGAACATTTAGGAAGCATAATGTGTATTAGTGTTCCACAGTGAGCAATGTACAGTTTATTTTAATGTTCAGGATTAGCACAATATTAACAAGTTCAGATATTCCACACTTCCTTGCAGAATGTTACAGAAATAGTGAAGCGAAAATTAACTGCTATTCATGTGAGAAAATAATTTAGCACCCGAATAGTTGGTGAAACCCAGCTCACTCAGGTAAAGGTTGAAAGCATCACAGCAACTACATGAATTACACAGAAAAATTATGTTTGAATTTTCCAAACCAAAATCCTAAACAGCAGCACCCCAGGGAGGATAGAGGAGGAAGGAAGGTGACCGAAGGAATGGAGCACCTTAAACCAGAGATTCCAACTAAGGCCGAGTAGTGATATAGGAAGCAGACAAGCCACTTTTCTAAGGAGAGTCCTTTGGGTCGCAGTGAATTGTCAAATATTAAAATGAGATTGGTACCATATAAAAAGGTAGCACAAACATAGCATTTGCACCGTTTAGGAATGTGCATAATATATGGTTAATTCTGGTTGAATAAAACATAAGCAGTGAGCCACCATGAGTAGTTGCAGATGTTGCTGGCCTATGTGGATTAAAGAATTTTGGTTACAGCCTTTATTACAGAATATATTTTGAGTCTGTGGTGTAAGAGTCTAGTGCAATCCTGCCATAATTCATTAATGCTGTAAATTCTAGGACAGATAGTCATCCTGTTCTCCAAATCCTTAATAAAAAAGCAAATATGCCAATCCAAATAGGCCAATTCTACACACGGATTTCATCCTCTTCATCCATGAAGGTAAAATCCTCATCTCCTTCATGCATAGATTCCTCTTTGAAGGCATCTCTGGATTCAGCTACATTTTTCATACTGTCTACATCTCCATGACTAACTCCCTCATAAACTGACCGCCTCTCTTCTGTAGTCCCAGATGCCAAACTGGACATGGAGCCACTATCTTGTGATAAGTGGCTCCCAGATGCTGTGCTGTACACAACACTATTAATGTTATTTTGCACGGCCATTGCTGATACTGCAGGTTCCTCTACAAACTTCTCTTTGGCCACATTTTGTGAATTAGAAAACGGTCCTTGTTTGTCATCGCCAAAACCAAGATCAGCACTTTCCCAAGTATCTTTTTCCATAACACTTAAAATTTCACCAAGCATTGAAGGACCAAGATCAACATGAAAGGACATGATGGATTCAGCATGCTTTAGTGGAAAGCCACCACTGGAAAGAGAAGTAGGAAGATCTGTAATATCTCCAAAATCTCGCTCATCTTGATATTCTGTACATTTACTTTCAACAGTGCTGGCAGCCCCATTGACAGGTACATCTTCCATTTGTTCACTTGCAAGCTTTTTTATTGGACTTGATGAAAGGCTCTTTGCCATCTGATTAGTTGGCTCCACAGTCTTATCATTGAGTTGAGGCAGAGACACTGCATTTTTCACAAATATTGCTGAATCACTCTGTGTCAACGTGTCTCGCTTATCAACACGTGTTACTGACTGAGACCGTTTGCTGCTGCTTCTGAATTTCCGAGACAGAAGCCCTGGCTTGGGTGTTGTTTCAGCAGGAGCAGTAGCAGCTGCAGCTCCAAACTTACTAGAAAGGAATGAAGTGTCTCCAAAGACGTCACCCCCACGACCTACATGCATCGTGTGCCTGAAATCACCAAGAGGAGCACTGATCATATCTGCAGTCAAGTCTATGCGAGAGCGCCGTTTGGACTGATTGGAGCTTGCCACAAGCTGTTTCAGGATCGGCATTTTCCAGATTTGAAAGGGGCACAAGTATGCTGGAATTCTGAAACTTAAAAGCCTCAATGATCAGGTTTTGGTCTTCAAATATAATCCAAAAAAATCTGACTCAATTCTTTATGCAGATAAAAGCTGATGCTCAATCGTTGATCCAACCACAACGCAGAATTGGTAAAACCAATTTGTCACAAAATTATACTTCATGAAATTTTACATTATCTTCCATTACAGCTGTTCTTTGTGCCAATAAATGCTTTAATATTCCAATGTACTTGATGCACCTAAATGCAAAAATAAATGAAAAATGTATTTAAAAACGTTAAAAACAAAATCACAATTTTAACTTTAGACAGGAAAATTTTTTTTTAAACAAAACCAGGATTAAACAATCATCCTCAAACTGACAATTGAAGGTCCTGATGAAATTTTAAATTCTTGAATTTCCTAAGAAAGACTTGTTAACAACACTTCAGAAAAACTGACTGGCAGAACCATTGAAGCTGTCAGTCAACAAGTTGAAAAGGCAATCATATAATCTCTAGCTTTATAAATGAAAATGTGAAATTGTGATATCATCTTGAAAAGTGCCTATATTACAGAGGTGCTGGATGTCTTAAAACGCACAAAGATTGACAAATTCCCAGGACCTGATCAGGTGTACCCTAGAACGTTTTGGTAAGCTAGGGAAGCGTTTGCTGGGCCCCTTGCTGAGATATTTGGATCACTGATAGTCACTGGTGAGGTGCCAAAAGACTGGCATTTGGCTAACAGTGTCATTATTTAAGAAGTGTGGTAAGGAAAAGCCAGGGAACTCAACTGGTGAGCCCGACATCAGTGGTGGGTAAATTTTGAGGGGATTCTGAGGGACAGGATTTACATCTATGTGGAAAGGCAACGACTGTTTTGGGATAAAAACAGAAGTTACTGCAAAAGCTCAGCAGGTCTGGCAGCATCTGTGAAGAAAAAGAAAAAAAAAAAAAATCAGTTAACATTTTGGGTTTGGTGACCCTTCCTCAAAGCTAGAGATAGTCTAGCATTAGGGCATTATCAGATTAAGGATAAGTCAACATGGCTTTGAGTGGGAAATTGTGTCTCACAAAATTGATTGAGTTTTTTGAAGAAGTGACAAAGATTGATGAAGGCAGAGCGGTAGACATTGTCTTTCTACACTTCAGCAAAGTTAGACAAGGATCTGCATGGTAGACTAATTAGATCACACAGAATATAGGGACAACTAGCCATTTAGACACAAAATTGGCTTGAAGGTAGGAGACAAAACGTGAAAGTGGAGGATTACTTTTGGAGGCCTGTGACCAGCAGTGTGCCGCAAGGAGCAGTGCTGGGTCCACTGATTTGGATGCAAATATCAGAGCTGTGGTTAGTAAGTTTGCAGATGACACCAAAATTGGTGTTGTAGAGGACAACGAAGGAGGTTAACTCAGAATACAACAGGACCCTGATCAGATGGACCAAAGTGGCAGACGGAGTATAATTTAGATAAATGTGAGGTGCTGCATTTTGGTAGGACAAATCAGGGCATTATACTCTGAATGGTAAGGTCCTGGGGGAGTGCTGACAAACAAAGAGACCTTGGGCGAAGGTTCATAGTTCCTTGAAAGCATAGTTGCAGATAGACAGGGTAGTAAGGCGGCATTTGGTATGCTTAGCTTTTTGGATCAGTGCATTGAATATTGGAGTTGGGAGGTCATGTTGTGGTTGTAAAGTATATTGGTTAGGCCAGTTTTAGAATACTACATTCAATTCTGGTCTCCCTGCTATAGGAAGGATGTTGTGAAACTGGAGACGATTCAGAAAATGATTTACAAGGATGTTGCCAGAGTTGGAGGTTTTGAGGTATAGGGAGAGGCTGAATAGGCTGGGCTATTTTCCCTGGAGCATTGGAGGCTGAGGGGTGCCCTCATTAGAAGTTTATAAAATCAGAAGCACGGTGAGGGTGAACAGCTAAGGTTTTTACCCAAGATAGGATAGTCCAAAATTAGAGGGTTTAAGGCAAGAGGGGAAAGATTTAACACTAAAGGTGGTGTGTGTATGGAATGAGCTGCCAGAAGTGGAGGAGGAGGCTGGTACAACCACAACATTTAAAAGGTATCTGTGCGAGTATGAATAGGAAGTGTTTAAGAGGGATATGGGCGAAATGCTGGCAAATGGGACTACATTAATTTAGAATATCTGGTCAGCATGGATGAGTTGCACCGAAGGCTCTGTTTCCATGCTGTAAATCTAAGACTCTATGAAAAGCAGGGATGTTATGCAAATAAGGACAAATCAACTTGGGGAAACTCAGCAATTCAAGAGAATATTTCAGGTCAATGACCTCCGATGAAAGGTCAACCTAAAATATTAACTCGGTCCCCACAGACGGTTCCTGGCCTTGTGTTTTCCAGCATTTTTGTCCACATTTCAGATTTCCAGCACTTTCAGTAATTACTTAGGTGTTATGCAAAACTTATGAACCACTGGCTAGGCCTAAGCCGAAATATCACATTCATTTCTGGGTACTGCACTTTAGGAAGAGTATAAAGCTTTTGTTTTTAAAAAGACCGTAGAGGAGATTTTCTGAAAGGACATAAATGGCAGAGGAAATTCAGTTTTGTAGAGAAACTACAATTGGTCTCCCTAGAACTACAAAGCTTCTTTCTGGTCTGTGCCACCGCCAAGCAACAAAGCAGCACTGCCCAAAGATGGCACTGCATAACAGTTACAGGGCAGAAACAAACTCCTGAAATGTTTCTCATAACACAAAAGTGTGACATTGAGAGTAAAGCTGAGAATCAAATCCATTGATACTGCTTACAATGTGGAATTTATAATTTGAGCAGAATGTGAAGGATATTCCTTTATCAATATGGCAAATAAAAATTAATATGGGTTTGATGAGAACAGTAATCATGCAATTTACCAATGAGTATAATGATCTATGAAACTAAAGGAAACTCACTGCTGCAAATCGTCAATGGTTCCTTGGAATGACCACTGTTCTGATTCAGAGGAATTTTCAAAATGATTGTTATAATGAACAAATGCTTCAGAGAAATCCATGTGAAGCGAAGCTGGTATTCGTGCTGACATCAACAAGCATCACCAGTGTGACATCACTGCACACATGCAGAGACATACTGGCACAACAGGGCCCTGATGTCATAGCTGACTGATGTCACAAGGTTATTTGTGCATACTAAAATGGCACTCACCAGCCCGTGTTTGGAACATGTGATGAATCTGACCTGCAAAGGGCAAAGGCAGCGGAAGCAGATTCAATTCCAACTTTTGAAAGAAAACAGGACAGAGTTGAAAGAGAAATATTTTGCAGGGCTACAGCTGCAGAACAGGGAGTGGAAACTATTGGATAACTTTCAAAGGATCAGCACTGGCAAGGTGTGTTAAAAGCCTTCTGTGCTGGACAATTTTAAGGAACCAAAAGTTTAAATTGGTGAATGCTTGTGCAAAAAAAAAAAAAAAAACACCAAATAGAAAATAATCTCACTTAACCTTTGAAAGATGGCAAGTTGGGATTGTAAACAAGGCTAATGTTATATTTATCTTACAGTACAGTCCTGGCAACTACAATAATCTATCTAGCAATTCTCCAGCAAAAGGAGGCCATTAAGCCCATTGTGTCTGTACCAGCCAAAGACCTACAGTATGTGCCTTGTTTCTTTGATTTTTTTTTAAACAAACTTCTGCCCATATGGGACAACAAGGTGCAAGGCTGGATGAACACAGCAGGCCAAGCAGCATC